ATTTATCCTGAGACTCTGTACCTCAAATTGTAGATCCATTGTCAGTGTCAGCCATGTGGATGAGTCATGGCCATTGCTTGGCCAATTTGCGCTCTGTGAAAGCCTGAGAGAATGTTTTCTCTCCATGGGACTCTCTTTACGCACATCTACATCATCGATCACTTTCCTCTTTGGCCCCATAATCTCCTTGATCAGAGAATTTGGGACACTACTGAATTACATGACGTTATAGTCAAGTTCTCATATGTCCTGAGTCTTAATTTACCTTGGAAGGCTAGGGCCAAAATGTTGGCTTTCCTTGTGGCCCTCCTTTTTCTCTAATTTTTGGTCCACAAACTTAGGTTGTTAACCCTCCAGAAGAGAAGCTTATTGTTATTGCCATATAACCTAGACTGTTGAGCTTAAGCTCACTATCTGTCTGAATATCAAACATCTTAGGAATAACATGGAACAGGTATTTTTCATCAAATATTGATATGTTAAACTTTAAGTCCCTACAGAATATGACAAAAAATTTAAAAAATTAAAATATATTTAAAAAATAGGAATAAAGAATTATATATGTTTACACATAAGTGCAGAAATCTAACCATATACAACATTGTAGCAGGACAGTCCCACAACACTCCTTTTCCTGTTTCCTTCCTTCATTCACCACCCCCTTCCTTTTTATTTTTTTATTTTTTATTTTTTAAAATTATTTTATTGAGAAAGAAATAGCAATGTGACAGTTTCAAAACAGGTTAGTAGGACAGTTACAATAATTAATACATTGCATATTGTTGTCTTCGTAGTAGTTGTTCATAGTACAAGATGCACACATGATAGCCTGTCCAAACACTATTAGTACAAATCTGTCTTCTCATTGAATTAAGAGAAAATAGCTGTACATCTATTCTATTTTGTATATACAGATAAAAAGGTCCTTTATTTATATCCCCTTTCTTTGTTTATTTTTGTCAGAGAAGGGTATTCCATTGCCATTTAAATTTTTTCCATAATTTTATTGATAAACAAGTATCAATAAGACAGTTTCTTTCTTTCTTTTTTTTTCCCGGAACCAGGGATTGAACTCAGGCCCTTGTGCTTGTCAGGCAAGCACTTAGTCTACTGAGCCATCTCCCCGGCCCCTAATGAGACAGTTTCAAATCAAATTGGTAGGACAGTTTCAATAATTAACACCCCCTTCCTTTTTAAACAATCATCTATCCGAGAGACAGCATGGAAGCAACTGGTGTGTCATGACAAGCAGCACATATTCAGAAGACCAGAATGACAGGCACTCCAAGCATGAACCTACTATTACAAATTGCCGTCTTCAGTGCTGTTGCTTAGTTCACAGGTGTCAGTATATATAGTTAGTCAGGCTGAGAATCCTTCCAGTTAACTGCTAGATTCAGAAATGTTCTAAAGATTCTCAGGATCATTGCCTTACCCATCTTACACATGTAACTGCATGGCTTGCCTCTGTCATGTTTCCTAGCTCTTCTCCTTGCTCTCTCTTCATTGTCTAGTCCTCAAGTTCTTGCTCTCCTTTTAATTGTATTTATACCTTTCTATTTGTATTTCTTCTTTTGGGTTCTTACTGTATTTGTTCTTGTAAGATTTTCAACTGACAGTGGCTCTATCAGGATAATGTCATCATAACTACTACAGGTGAATAGTAGTTAAATGTAGATTTAAGGTAAGAGATACCGGGACATGTTTGAATGAGGAGGAGGAGAGAGGGAGAAGTTAGAGGGAAAATACCTTTGTGAAGATGGAGGCAAATGGGTGCAAATGGAGGGGAGAGTGCAGATGGTGGTTGAGCCAGAGGATGGGTGGCTGCTATGGCATACATGAGAACCGCAAGCCAGTATAGTGATGCGTGAAGAGAAGCGTGGGATCCCATGGTGAGGAGAGTGAGGCTCAGAAAAGGCGTGCTCTGACTATGTGGGGGAACCTGCGGTGAGCACCTCCAAGGCCCTGGAAAGTAGTCTGCTGTGCAGTCACAAGGCCCCCAAAGACTTTGTGATTTTTCTCTTTTCTTTTCTTTTTTTCTTCTTTCTTTCTTTCTTTCTTTCTTTCTTTCTTTCTTTCTTTCTTTCTTTCTTTCTTTCTTTCTTTCTTTCTGTTCTTTTTTTTGTCTCTAGCAACCTTCAGTTGTTTGGGTGGAGGTGAGAGAAGTTGGACTGTGGGTTCTTTCAGGCCTGGCAAAATAGTCCTCTGTGGAGCAAGATATACACAAACAGTGATTGCAGGATGGATCACAAAGTGTGAGTGTGCAAAGCCAGGATGTCAAGCTGGTGGTGAGGGAGTGTGCAAAACTGGTATGCATAGTCCTTGTCCCTCTTGAAAAGACTGAATAATTGAGAACAGAGTGCTTGAATGTGTTTGTCTTGGGTGGGGACCAGGGAGGCCAGGCTCCATGTGCTGATGGAAGAAGTTTTGGGGATAGGAAAAAGGGAAGAGGAGGTATTTGGAGGTGAGGAGGGATAGGAACTGAGAGACTATGTGTTGGATCTGCACGTATGTACGTGTGTGCGTGTGTGCAACATCGCTAGGCTCTTGAAGAGCAGGGGAAGAGGGAATGGTGTTGAGCTGGAAAATGGGGTGTACAGGGACAGTATCTGGCCAATGGTAGATGACCACAGCAAGGAAGAATCAAAGGCTAGTCCCTTTGGAGATAGAGCTGAAAACAATCACTGGGCAGTAGCTGAGTTTTGCAGGAACATAGCAGGTGTAAGGACACAATTGGCAGAGGAAGTGCAAAAGCTGGGAAGACCTCAGATAATGACAGGTATATGCAGCACTCTGGGGACCAGCAGGCTTCCATGGGACTCTCTGGGGGCCAATTTGCCAGAGAGAGAGTTGGGAAAACATCTTCTGCATCTCAGCTTGATGAGCTGGGTGGTGCCAGTGTTGGAGCTGAAGCTTTTGAGGCTGTTTGGGGCCAGATGACTCTTGATAGTTATGGCTCCAAGGCCCTTGGGGGTGTGGGGAGAAGCAACACCCAAGAAGCCTTTCTGGGTCAGGGCCGGCTCCCCTGTGGATTTGGCTTGGTACCTTTACTGTGGGAGGGCTGTACTGTACCATATACAGAGCTAGCACCTGTTTTGAGGGGTATGCGCTGCTCAGTACACGGGATCTAAGCTGTTCTGTTTGGCCTGAGGCCAGAGCATTAATACATGGTACTGGAATTCTTTTTTTTTTTAATTTATTTATTTGTGTGTGTGTGTGTGTGTGTGTGTGTGTGTGTGGCCAGCTCAGCCCACCAGGGGGCAGGGCTGGTTGGCATGTGGTGCTGGGGGATTGAACCGCAGTCCCTGTGCTTTGCTAAGCTTGTTCTAAGTAGGTGCTTTAGACCACTGAGCCGTCTCACCAGCCCTAAGGCTGCTGTCTTTTATTTCCTTTTTTTTGCGGAACCGGGGATTGAACTCAGGCCCTTGTGCTTGCCAGGGAAGCGCTTATTCCACTGAGCCATCTCCCCAGCCCCTGGAATTCTTCATTTTAAATGTTGATTTCTTTCCTTTGCATTGCATGGGACCTCATTTTTCCCTCGAGTAACTCTAGGATCTGTCTCCCATTCCCCCCTTTTTGGTGTGGATGGAACCCAAATGTCTTGTGCATGCTAAGTGTGTACTCTACCACTGAGCCAGACCCCCAGTCCTTTTATTTTATTTATTTATTTTGGATTTTTGAGACAGGGTCTTGCTATGTAGTTCACACTGGCTTTCAACTCACTATGGAGCCCAAGCTGGCCTCGAGCTCTTGGCGATGCTTCAGCTTCATCCTCCTGAGTGCTGGGAATCCAGGCCTGTGCCACCATGCCCAGATCTCTGTGTTCTTTAATGCTGGGCTTGTTACCAAATGCTTCTTTTTCTTTGTATTTCCCTGTTCCAATTTTAGGAGTGTCTGAGCTCTGCTAACCTTTTAGGTCTGGCCCTGTAAAAATTGCTGCAAGTTTTCTGTGCTTCCATGGCCATTGCATGGGCCAGAAATGCAACATCTCTGCTGTGGAGACACAGAGCAGTCGGTTTCCCATCACATGTGTGACACTTAGACCCTAAAAGGGGCTCAGTCTAAAAGGGTACGGAGGTGTTGGGAAGCTAGCATGGTGGTGGCCACAGACTTCAGGCTCACTGTCCTTTCTCTTCTTGGCAGCACTGACGTGTTCATCTGCACAAGCCCCATCAAGATGTTCAAGTACTGTCCCTATGAGAAGGTAAGATGTGCCTCTTGCTCTGGACAGCCCTCACCCTGTGCAGTGCAGACAAAGGCTGATGGCTCATCTCTTCTGATAGGAAGGTGCAGACTCAGTGCCAGGTCCCCAGTGCTTGCTCTCTGGCTCTGTGCCAGTGTTCCCCAGGGACTTCTCCTGTACTGTTCTCAGCCCCCCCCCCATTCCCTTTCTGGTGAGGCCTCATTATTGTGACAAGGGATTGATGGAATAGATACCCATCAACAGTTTGGAGCAATGTCATTTGTCAGATGTACTTGTCCCTGAACAGGCTTATGACAGAGGTAATGAAGAGAGAACCATGTTTGGTAAGCGGCTGGAAGGTTGTGGACAACATTACATGAAAAGTCTAACAAAGGGGAAGTGGCTCAAGTTTATTTTGCTACATAATCTCTTTTCTCTCCTTACTGAAAAGAAAGAAAATGACATGAAATGAAGATTTTTCTGGAATTTGGGAAGCTGCAGTTTCCAAACCCAGAGGATAGCTCTGTTGCCAGGAAGAGGGCACTTGGCAGGGAGATTCAGAGCCTGGCTCTCGCCCAAGGTTTCTGAGCATCTTCCTCAGCAAGAAGGCTAGATTTCCAGCCCAGATCTCTGCTGGTAGGAGCTTCCAACCTTCAGGCATGAGTTCTGAGCGTCTTCTCTTTCCTCTCCTCACTCCAGCTCCATGTCAGGAACTGCAGTTACACATTCATCCAGTATTAAGTACCTCTGGTATACCTACTGTGGAATTATGCCAGTGCTTGTTGCCTATATCCCCATCCCATAGTTACCTTTGAATTTTCCAGAAGCATGAGATTAGTTAAACCTAGGGAAGTAAGGTCCCTGGTCTATAGTTTGTGGCTGCGGTGTGAGCAGTAAAGGCTGGGCCTTCTCTTTCTAGTAAAGTAATGGTCTCCAAGTGAGGGTCCTCCATGGTCAGCCTCCCCCAGAGACTCAATAGAAATCAACGTTTTTCAGCCCTGCAACAGATCTTCTGAACCAGAAACTCTGGCAGCTCCAGTGTGATCTTGATCGGCTCTCCAGGTAACTCTAATGCAGCCCTCAGCTTGAGTACTGGAGTGGGGAATACAATGGCTGCTTCCACCAGTCTTGCACTGGGTGGTCACGTGGCTGTTCAGGATCCTTTGGTAGCTGTGGGGAATTGGTTTCAGGAGTCCACCTCACCCAATCATTACCTGAAGATGCTCAAGTCTCATATATAAAGTGGCTTGGTATTTGCATATAATATGTGTACCTCTTCTCATATTCTTTAAATCATTTCTAGATGACATACTATCTACTGCAATGTAAATGGTATGTGAAATAGCTATTATACTCTATTGTTTAGGGAGCAGTAACAAGAAATAGTTACTGTACATGTACAGTATATATGTACATGTTAAGCATATATACAATTACTGAAAATTTCTGCCCTGTGATTGGTTGAATTCGTGGATAGGAAAGGATATGGACTTTATTCACTGGTGTAAGGCTGGTAAGGTGGCTCTTTACCCATTCCTGTGTATTTACACATTTTCTTAGTGATGACCTCCTAGCCTGCACCACAGCTTCAGTGAGGTCACCAGCCTGATGTGTCTGTCCCATGTCAGTGTCTGTGTGTGTCTTTGTCTTTCCCTCCCTCACAGTGAACACAGTGCTGTCTACCCTCCTTGGCCAGTGTGCACTGAGCCCAGTACCTTGTGTATTCTGTTTCTAAATCTGACATTCATCTCTATCTTTATTCCCTTTATCATCAGCTCAGCATTTCTTCCCAGAACTGCTAATGTTGCCCCTAACCTGCTGGCTCATTTTAGTTCCACACAGAGCTAATGAGGCATTTCATAAGGCATATCACGTCAGCCCTTTCCTAATAGCTTCCCTTTTAAAAGTCTGTGTAGAGACTCCTGGCATTCCCTTCAGGCCTTCCTGCCTCTCTCCACTGAGGTGCTCTCCACCCTCTGTTTCTTTTGTTTCCACCCTCTTTTCTTGAGCCACCCTAGTCTCCAAACATCTTCCTCTCTTGCTGTTGCACTCAGAAACTTCCCCACACTTCCTCACTGTCTCTGAAGTATATTCTTTTTTCACTTTGTTATATCTGTTGGCCCTGTTTCCTGTGTGGCACTGAGGACCATTTGGAATGGGTTTGTGTCTCTGCCTCTGTCTTTTTACTCACTGTCTCCCACTGGGCTGAGGTCCATGAGGGCAGCAATTGTCATAGCAGTGCTGGCTGTAGCCTCCAGTGTCCAGCTTAGGGGCAGCCCCCTACCCCTCAAATTCAGCATTTGGTATTGGGTGAAGAGACCCCTTGTTCAGCTAAGAGCTGTCAGATGCCTTTGTGTAAGGATGTTTGTCACTTACTAGACGTCTCTAATACACCAGGCACTGTCCTTTAGTTACTACTTATGAGGTTTACAGAACACCCTTGTAATTGGAGAGATGGAGAAACTGAGGCTCAGAGAGGTGAGAGAGCTCGTCTGCTGGATCCAGTGATCACACACAGCCAGTGAGGCCTGGGCCTGTCTGTTTATCCCTCCGCTTATACTCAGCTTCTGTCTCCTCCTGCAGGCTGCTCACACTCCCTGGAGAGGCCCCGGAGCCTTTGAAGGGATGAAAGTCAGGACTCCTCTCTAGCACACTAAGAGCTTTAAGCTAATGAAAATAGGATCTATTAGAAGGATGTTAGTTTGCTCAGAGAAGGAAATAGGAAGAAGCAGGCTTTAGACACCAGGAGGCAATCTGTCTAGTTAATATTCTTCTAAAACACTGGAGTGCTGTTGGTGTTCATCCTGGGGTTTCATAGCTCCAAGAATCACAGTCCAGAAGATGCTCTTAAATGTTACTTGTAATCTCCCCCACAAGACTGTGTAATCAGTGAGCTGAGCGTGGGTCCCACACTCCAGGTACTAGGGCTATGCCAAGTGCAGCTGCTGGCCGCTCTCGTCTGTGAGTATGAGTCTGGCAGTGAAAGCCCAGGGAGGAGATGAGGACTGATTGTCCTTTATAAGGCTGCTGCTGATGGAAGAATGGTGGCTTCCAGAAAAAAAAACAGAGGTGACCTTGTCAGAAGACGGGTGCACTAATGATGGTAGGTGTCCTGAAAGAAAAAAGCAACAGAAGCCCACATCCACATTCCTGCCACCTAGAGAGGAACACTGCTAAGGTTTTGATGTGTTCTTTTTAGTTTCACTTTGATGCCTGTTAAATATAATGCATATATTTTTAAAAATCTCATATGATTTACTACTTTTTTTTGCTTAGTATTATATCTTTTAGGGTTTTTTTTTTTTGTCACCAAACACTATTATTCAGAAATATGACTTGTTTAAAACTGAAGATATTTTGTGAATAGGTGTTTGTATTATTATGTTCTTAGTGTAAGTTCCAATAAAAGGATTAGTGTGCCACAGGAGGAAATGTCGGAGTCTGGTACATGTTACACAAAAAGTTTTGTCCATTTCCAGTAAGTACACTAGGGGTGAGCACAGTTCACACTTCCTACTGGCCCAGGCTATGCCCTGTCAGCTGATGGAGAAGGGGGGACACAGGGCACAGGCGTGAAACAGGGCAAGTATGCAGCATTATCTAAAGACATTCTTGGTGGTATGTTTTTGCCAGTGGCTGTAGGGACTGGCTAGAAGGTGGGGGTAGGCCAGGCTAAGCATGTTAACTTGCCTATGTCCCAACCACCTGAGATGAAGGTAGCTCCTGCCATACTGCCTACCGTATCCATCTATTATCCTGCTCTGACCACTCCTCTGGCCTGACAACATGCCTACCACCTTCCCTGCCCAATGTGGGTGGACATTTTTTACCTCAGCTGACTGGCCAAAGGAAGTAGGTGTCACTGGTTTCTCTGTACTGTGCCTGGGGCTGGTGTTGCAGGGCAGGCGGCTGGTCTAGGACATGCATACAAGGTGTTTTGCCTTCCTGGGTCCACTTTTGGCTCTATTCACTGGAATGTGATCACCATGGGAATCCTAAGTGGAAACACTTCTCCATGAATATTCTCCTCTGACGACCCAGACAAAAGAAGAGAATCCGGGTAGCTACGATCTCACTTTTTTATCACACACTAGGGTTAGAAATGATCCACATCCAGGTTACCAGACCCTTCCTTCCTCCTAGAGTATACTGGCATTTAACCTCAGAGCACAACAAGCTTGTGTTGGCTGTAGGCAAGAGCTTTTTCTCTATGATAACCCACTAACTTAATACCTTTGCAGAGTAGGGACCATGCTTGCCCTATTTTATAGATTGGAAAATGAGGCAGGAGAGGTTAAGGTGCTTGTCCAAGGTCAGCAGCAGGAAGGTAGTGAGTCAAGTGTGGGACCCCGTGCAGTCTTCTCCTGTGCCACATCACCCCTCTTCTCAAGCTCCACCAGACTGGAACTTGAGTAGCATGATTTTTGCTTTTGCTCCCAAAGAAAGATTTTTTAAAAATCCACAGCAAGTTCTTCATTTAGAGGCATGACAATGCATCTGGACTTTTTCTAATTCCATAAGGGGAGTAATGACATGCCACATTAAGTGAGGTACTGGAGTGTGAAGCAAAGTGTGTTCTCATGATTTGAAGGCTGGTTTCTGGCTGACATGTTGGTGGAGTCTATTTTAGTTTTAACAATAATTGGTAGAGTACTTGCCTAAGAGACCCTGGCTTAGATTCCCAGAAACACACACACACACGCACACACACACACACACACACACCACCCATGTGCATACACACACATACTCCTCCATACACATGCACACACACACACACACACACACACACACACACACACACACGCTGCAAAAAGAAAGAAAAACGGGTAATGAATTAAATTTCTGCATATTTTACTCCAAATTGCCCAGTTGCTCCCAGTCTGTGAACCTATCATCCACTTACGTTAAAGAGCCCAGAGCTGCTTCTGCCATGTGAAGAGCCCACAGATTCTCAGGAATCTACATGATTGTGTATGTGAGCCACGCAGCTGCAACCCAGTAACTTTACCCTGGAGACT